TTCTTCCTTCTCTCCTCTCCCCCCCCCCCCCCCGCGCCTTCTCAGAATTGTTCCACCGCCACTTTTTTCCGAAATGCTGGCAACCACATAATAATCACATACAAAGTCTGTTTTGTATTTATGCCAACAAATCCTAGCTCATGAGCTCTTGGGGGCAGGGAGTGCCTTCAAGTTATTTGTACAGTGCTTAGCCCACTAGAGTCCTAGTCCTTTGGCACCCTTAGATGTGCCAAAAATAATAAATAATAACTTAAGCTATAGAGGAAGGCTGTCAATGGTGAGGAGGCTTTGTACTTCCCCAACTTTGATAGGCTCCATAGTTGGAGGCCATGACAGTTAAATGCTGTCATGGACTGAAAATTCCCCTTCCTTAATTTTAATATTTGTATTTTATGATTAAGTCTTGAAACATAAGAACATATTGCACACTTATAAATGAAGGACTGAAAGATGGAGAGAAGTTAAAGAAAATAGCCAACATCTTTTCCGCTGTCAATAAAATCTGTCTTCAACCATTAACCACTGAGCCAGCAGGGCCAGTATCAAGACTATTTGACCTGAATGGTAGCATGGGACATTAAAGTAGAAGCAATACTCCAGTGTGAAATCTCTAGTCTCGTGCTCTGTATGAGGCACTATAATTTTTAGTTTTGCAGGGTTTAAAGTGTGGCCAGCTCAGAAAGCGAGGATTTTAAAGGAACGCTTAATTTTAATCAGTTATAAAAATATTTATATACCACATCTTAGAGCATTAAAAAGGAAAGACTTAAAATCATTTCACTGCTTACTGACAGTTCGTATTTCTAATGTTGGATGATGAAAATCAATGAACTCAGTTGCACTTTCCAGTTCTTAATGCAGCGATGATTGGGACCATGAAATTTCTATCTTATCAAAAATTGCTCAAAAGTCTTAGATTTATCAAATGTTTGTTAGAAAACCTGAATCTGGGCCAAATTTGAGTTGGTGTCGTCCGCTTAATTACATACCTTGTCGGAACACTTGTAGGTGGGCACTGGGCACTCGACAGAAACAGTAGCTACTTGTAGAGTCGCATCATCCATATTGGACATGGAAGTTGCTTACTGATGATAAATATAAACTTCAGGGCCTATATCACCCTTCTTGAGAGAGATTCCAGAACGTATTAATTCCCGGGTTCAGAAGATAAATTATTTTAAACTGTCAGAGAAAGGAACACATTTATACATTCAGCAGTATATTGAACAGGCAAAATACGCTGATTCAACAGAGTATATTTCTGTTTAAAATCTTTCAGTCTCTGTTTCCTGTTCACTTGAATACAGCAGCTTTGTCACAGTTCAAAAAGCCCTCTCCTTTTACATTCATCCAGAGGAGAGCTCGTGCCTTGTCAGCTACGCGCAGTCTCTGTGTTGTGTATTATCCAAGACATGATTTCTGCGTTGAATACTGAGAGATTCAATTGTTTTGTGTGCCTGTTTAAGCTGAATCTTTAAAGCTTCATTTTCTGCCTTTAGAATATTTCTTTCCTAAACAAAAACAGAGAATGGCAGGCGTCATATGAATGGTATTGTTTTTTTAAAATCGAGATTTCACCCCTGTTTGCTGGTGCACTTGCTTGATTGGCGTCTCACATTTTCCATGAGAGACTATTTAACTATTCTCCAAATGGTTATTATGCACTGAACAGTAAATGGCATGTTAAACAAAAAAGATCAGCATGAGCAAATGGCAATTAATTTTCTGTTTGCATCTCTAAAGAATGTATTTGGTTACCTGGTAAATTAACCATTTCATGTTTGGAACCAGTATTTTTCAATATGACTCATGCAGAATATATTTGTTCTAAATGTGTACTGAGCTTTCAACCACCTGGTGCATAGGAGATCCAAAGATGGAGAAGATTTGGGTGGTAGGTGGGAGTCCGTATTTCAAGGATGGGTGGGAGAGGGTTTAGTTTTGGACATTGCTTGGGTTGGTAGGTAGATATAACATGGATTAGTATTTTGATGTTTTTTCACGAAGACTGAAGGCTTCATAGGGCAGCAGGAGGCTGTCTCTTGATTCCATTACCTAGTGTAATGACAGTGTACTAATTGAACCATTTCCTCATTTGCATTAATATGCAAAGGTCCACAAAGTCCTGGCTGACTGCAAACTGAAGTGAGCTTGCTTTATTTTTGCTTGCCTGAGATTTTAGGACAGTGATGCTGATTGGAGTTAAGATTTTAACCATTTCAGTTTTCATTTGAATTGGTTAATTTTTGTGAGAGGAAGGGACCATCTTGTGGTTAAAGCACTGGACAGAGATTCAGATCTGGGTTTAATTCCTGGATGTGTCACAGGCTTCCTGCATTACTTTAGGCAAGTCACTTAATAGCACTGTGCCTCAAGTCCTTCTCAGTAAAACGGGGGTAAGTAATGCTTGCTTTCTCCCACCTTTATCTGTCTTTTCAGTTTAGGGCCCGATCCAACTCCCAGGGAAGAATGAGAGTTTTTCCATTGACTTCAATGTGAATTGGATCAGGTAAGCTCGTAAGAAGAGAACTGTTACCTACCTTACAGTAGATGTGGTTCTGCAAGATGCGATGTCTGTGCAGATTTCACTGTTGGTGTGCTTGTGCCCCATGTGCACAAGATCAGACTCTTCTAGCAAGTAGTGTGTTGGGGGCTGTACCTGCACCCTAAACATCCTCACCCGTCCCTTCCACCATCCCCAGCTAAACATACAACAGGCTGTATGGATCCAACCAGCTCTGCTCCCTCAGTAATTCAAAATCCCAGAGATAAGGACTCCAAAGGAGCAGGGATGAAGAGTGGGTCATGGGATCCACATGGACAAGACTTTGCAAAAAACTACAGTAACTGTATAAGTAACTGTTCTTTCCTCTTTGCGTCCTTGTCCATGTGGATCCCACTGGTGCTGGCTAGCAAGCAGTAATTCTCACAGGACATACTGAGGAGTCTTGTCTAACTAGCTAACTTAGTCAAAAAGAGAACTGAGAACAGCCCTTCCAAATATGGCATCAGCTCTGGCAGCCCAGGGTTATTTTGTGAGTGACGCACCAGTTTCAGAAAATTATTGCTTCTTGACAAAGGGAGGCGTGAGCACCATTTTGTCTGATGAAGAACATTGCAGATGTATTGTCCATCAAGGCTCCCTCGGTCAGTGACAACTCCTTAAAAGCTGGCCTGATCACTCAAAACTCCAGGACGTTAATGTGAAGGCAGGCATTGCTTTGGGACCTGATTCACAGTGTTGTAGAAGCATCTGTGACTACTGTTAGTGATGGGCATAAAGTCTGAAATGGATCTCTCCTCGTGCTGGGGTTCATTCACCATTTGAGAAAGTCCACAATATAGCACTGTGATAAGAGTCCGTGGGGTATCTAGAAGGCTGCGACACAATTCTGAGCCAGGACTGCAGTGGACATATGCAAAATCTGGCAAGAAGCACCACATACGTGCATGAAGCAAGATGACCTAGTAGCTTTAAGTAAAACCTTATTGATGTGGTTGGTTCGAGATCTTAAAGCCTCATCAATTTGGGAATGGAAGAGATCAGGCTCCTTGAATAGTATACTGGACCTCTTTCAGGATTCCTGATGGCTGGAGCCAGAATGCTTTGTTATTGCTGTGGCCAGGAATCGAACAGGTGCATTGGATGCAGCTTGGTGAGAGGTCTTGGCCACTATTGACCTTTTGCTTCACCGCCTTCAGTTCTATTATTTGGTCTCGAGAGAGATCGAGAAAGGAAGAACCTTATCCCTGCTTGTTATGTTTGGCAAGTAATAAGTTGCAAGGATACTGAGGAATATGGTTTTCTACCAAATAAGTCCAACCTCTATAGATCATTTTCCTTGGGACTGGACCGACTCAGGGCTGGTTGTTAGGACTTTTCTAATATTGCTGAGACCACAAGAGAGCCCAGAGTAGGGTGAGAAATGACATTCATATCCCTTTTGCAGGTACTTGGTAACTCCTCTAAGCCCTCAGAGATAGGAGTTGAAGCCAGTGTCTGCCATGAGTCCTTTGCTGGCTCTAAGATGCCTTCACTGACAGGCATGGCCATTCTAGCTATTATCTGGGAATGGAGAATGCAGGAGCGCTTTGGTGGCTTTTCTTGGCGCACTGAAAGCGATAACTCAAGTATTGGCTATTCTCTCGAGCAGGTCTTGAAATGCCCTAAAACAAAAATCTTCAAACTGTGGGGCATGCCCCCCTGGTGGGCATGGAGGAATGTTCGGGTGGGAGGGAGGGGAGCGGCAATGGCAGGTGGCTCTGGCCAGCCCCTCACAGCAGGGCTCAGGGAGGAAGCCCCACCCCGACTCTTTTTTTTTCTTTTTCTATTTTTGTCTGTATTGGGGATGGGGCACAACCAAAAATTTGAACTCCAAAGAATGGGGGGGAGGGGCTCAGTTCAAAAAAATTAGAAAATCACTGCTCTAAAATCAGCTGCAGGCAGGATCAGTATGGGGATACTGCCTCAGCAGGAGATGGTAATGAATGAGCAGCAGGTTGTTTTATCATTTCATCTACCAGATCTCTGGAGGAATCCTCCTCTTCATATTCAGGCCCTGACTCTTTGACTTTGTGGCTGTGTCTACACTGATAGCAGTGTGTGGCGTACGGGCACCACACGTGTAGCTACATACTGCAGGGAACAACTCCAGCAGCTCCTGCCTTTCCCCACTGTCTCCCCCGCCAGAGCCTTTCCTTGCTGCAGTGAAAGGCTCCGACAACAGGGAGCCTCACTGCAGTGAGAAAAGGCTCCAAGGGTGCCTCTTCCCCCACCCCCTGCCAGAGCCTTTCCCTGCTGCCGGAGGCTCTCACCGTGGCAGGGAAAGACTCCAGCAGCAGGGAGGTAGCGGGACGTTACATTGCTAAAAATAGCAGCGTAGACATTGGAGGCACTGCTTGGGTGTAAAGAGCCGTGTAGAGTATCTATCCTGGGGGTTCCTGTGTGTAGGGCACTCTACTGGCCTAAGCCATGTCTCGCTGGGCATGTAGTGTCCGTACTCTCCATGCCACCATATGTATAGATGTATCTTTGGTGTGTGGGTGACGCTGCCTTTTGCATGGAAGTTGATCTTGGTCTTTTTCTAGCTGAAGGTACAGGAGAGTGGGACCTAGAGGTATGAGAGACTGGACCCCAGTATGCCCAATAAAGCCAGGAAGGGAAGAAAAACTGAGAAGGAGAAGTAGTGTTCCAAAGTCTTTCAACCATGTAATGGGGGATGTGCCTTTCCTTAAGGGAAACTGGGGTGATATCCCTATACTTCGGCTCTTAAGAGCATGGGAATGCTCCTTAGCAGAAGCTGGGTGGAGGTAGGAGGATGGGGAAGATGAGGAATAAATCGGGTCTGTAGAAAGTGCTGATAGAATCAGCACTGAGGAGGAGGGTTCCAGTGCTTAATTTGTAATGAAAGAGGTGCCACGGCTCAGCCCTAGAAAGCCCTGATGTAAATTAAGCACTGGCTGAGTGGCCGGAGAGCAGCAGCGGCTGGCCGGGCGCCCAGCTCTGAAGGCAACGCCGCCACCAGCAGCAGGGCAGAAGGAAGGATGGCATGGTTTGGTGTGTTGTCACCCTTACTTCTGCGCTGCTGCTGGTGGTGGCGCTGCCTTCAGAGCTGGGTGGCTGGAGAGTGGCAGCAGCTGGCTGGAGCCCAGAGGTGCCGGGGCTATGAACAGCCAAGCCTAGAGGTGCCAGGCTGAACCCCAGCACAAATTAAGCACTGGAGGGTTCCCTGAGGGCAGGGAACAGGATGGCTAACTGAGCCTTGTACCAGAGAGTAAAAGGTCTTTTGGTATTGAGAGAGACTCCAGCATCTGAGGATTCTATCATTGCTGAGGCAGTCAATACTGCTGTTGAAGCTGAAGCGGCCTCCCCTTGTCCTGAGGGAGATGGTGAGCTTGTCAGGGTCACTTTCTTGAGCTGATCTATGTTCTTGGCCTTAGAGTTATCAGAGTCACAGGGCTCCAGGCTCCTCTTAAACGCATTTGCTCTATTCCGTTCCAGGGAAGAGAATGGCAGTGTCATCTGGCCCTGGGTCATGTCTTGGATCTACCATGTCTGGTGGTGTCACTACCTGGGTCCTGAACTGGAGCTGTGTGCACTACCAGGATGACGTCCCAAGGATGGCACTGATCTTGAGGCTTTTTCTTGGTACCACCAGGAGCTGGAGCTTGGGGAGTACAGTCTCCAAAGCACTGTGGGAGTGCGACATCTGGCTCTGGGGATGTTATTTTGGGTCCAGGGAAGGTCTCTCAGGATCTGAGGTACCCCTCATGGACTGTTATTACAGCTACAGTTTTAGGTGAGATTCTTTCAGTTTTCTGGTCTGAGTAGACAAGGATGTGCACATTGAACAATAATTGAGAATATATGATTCCACCAAGCACACAAGACATTTGCGGTGGGTCATCGGCTAAGTATGTGGGGGCGAGGGTAGGAATCAGCCTGTTGTAGAAAGGGTAGAACTCGAGTGCTGAGGGTTTGGAGTCTATCATAGGGGTGATAAGGCACAAATATCTAAGAACATTCCCTGAGACAAAAGGGGAATGGAAAGCTGCCAAATGGGCAGAAAAACTATTAACTAATAATCTAAATCTATATATGCAATTATTAACAAAAACCTATCAGACTAGTTGCAAGTGAAAGGAGGACGCCACAGTTCCCACCTTACTGCCCATACTGAGTTTTTGTGGCCATTTATGCCTTAGGATTGGGGGGGGGCACAAGCACGTACTGGGCACAGGTGTGGCCCCAATGGACACTGCTTACCAGAAAGTTTGAAACTCATGTGCATGGAACACATGTGCACCAATAACAGCGGGATCCACACAGACAAGGATTTGAAGAACTGTTTCTTACTATGTGTTTTGTACAGTGCTTAGAACAGGGGTTGTCAACCTTTCAGAAGTGGTGTGCCGAGTCTTCACTTATTCACTTTAACTTAAGATTTCGCGTGCCAGTAATACATTTTAATGCCTTTTTAGAAGGTCTCTCTCTCTAAGTCTATATTATGTAACTAAACTATTGTTGTATGTAAAGTAAACAAGGTTTTCAAAATGTTTAAGAAGCGTCATTTAAAATTAAATTAAAATGCTGATCTTACGTCGCCAGCCCGCTGCTGGCCTGGGGTTCCGTTCACTTAGTTCGGCAGCGGGCTGAGTGGGGCCTGCGGCCGGGACCCCGGCTGGCAAGGGGCCAGCAGCTGGGACCCCAGACAGGCAGTGGGCTGAGTGGGGCCGGCGGCCAGGACCCCAGCCCGGCAGTGGGCTGAGCTGCCGGCCCCGCTCAGCCCGCTGCTGGCCTGGGGTTCCGTTCACTTAGTTCGGCAGCGGGCTGAGTGGGGCCTGCGGCCGGGACCCCGGCTGGCAAGGGGCCAGCAGCTGGGACCCCAGACAGGCAGTGGGCTGAGTGGGGCCTGCGGCCGGGACCCCGGCTGGCAAGGGGCCAGCAGCTGGGACCCCAGACAGGCAGTGGGCTGAGTGGGGCCGGCGGCCAGGACCCCAGCCCGGCAGTGGGCTGAGCTGCCGGCCCCGCTCAGCCCGCTGCTGGTCTGGGGTCCCGGCCCTGCCCATATAGTGGGTATTTACCTTTCCCTGGTTTGAGCCCATTCTCTTCCTCTCTCTCTGCACTGAGCTGAGGGTGGGAGTGCACTGAGCACAGGTTGGGGGTGAAGGAGCAGGTTGGGGTGCAGGGTCTGGCCAGGAGCTAGAATGAGGGAGGGGGCTCAGGGTTGGGGCAAGAGGTTTGGGTGTGGAGCGCTTACCTGGGACAGCTCCCATTTGGTGCGAGGGGTGCAGAACCTCCTGTTTGGTGCTCAGGGGGGGGGTGGGGATGTGGGGGGGTG